CAACTCAACAACCCCATTACTGCCAAACCTATAAAAATATACCTACAATATCTTCAAAATTCCACTTACTCAACAATAAACATTTTACAATCATCACAGTTTATTCTACCAAAGATATACCATAATACATTAACCGCACAAACTATTTATACAGCACACAAACTTAACATTAATATACTTAACCTGCCAAATCCTTGGCCAATCTGTATAACATACTCTGGAACCTCTATTGACACACTAATTAGATACTGCAAAAAACCACACCTTATGAAAATGTACACAAATAAGTCAAACATATATGCTATAGAACAGCTCACAAATTATACTAATATATATCTTCTCCAATAGTACTATATACTATATAAGATAAACAAAACAATATCAGGATGTACCTCTAAATAGTTTATGATACTGCAGGACACATTCCAAGATCCAACTATACCATACATTGCAACTATCAATCCTAACCTATTCACAATCAACAATAACATACCCTCACGAGGAGCATAGGTACTTAGCAAATATAATAACCTAGCTATAATAGACCAGGTAACAAAGACAAAAATGCTCAACAACCAATTACAAATCACACATTGGAGGTGTGCACTATCAACTACAACTAACTTTAGTACACAATTAACCAAATGTAAAACCTGTATCTATATATCCACCATAAACTCATACCACCAATGCACTATTATCCTTATTGTTAGTCAGTGTATCACCATTAAGATAACTAGTACAAAACAACTTCATACAGATATTAACAACTTACTGCAACACCACCTTAAATTCAATCCACAAAGGATAAAACGTATATCCCAACCTACCAAGAACAATATAGCATGAGCTCTAAACCCCCTAACAACATATTACATAAACTATTCATAGCAGATACTGCTTTATCTCATCTCCAACACCTTAGCCAAATCAACTCTCAAACAAAAAACCTACAGCTATACTTATATGCAAACACACTAAATCCAAATACTGTAGACAGCTAAGCAAGCTTTGCTTGAACCCTTTCACCAACTAATATCTCTTTCTCAGCTACAATAATATACTGGCCATCTACTATCAGAGCATATCTCATCAGGATTATATCAATTTTCTCAATCACTGCACAAAATAGCAAGATAACTATATATACTCTGCATAAACTAACCATAAATCATGTTAGTTTAGTTATGCAATACTCATACAACCTTAATATCCTTATCCAAAAACACAATTACTGGCCTCTCAAACAACTCATTCAGATCCTCATCGCACGAAAAAACTTAAATATACAGTTTACTCTTATAGATAGCAGAGCAAACTATCCACTTTTTCACAAAATGATGCAACTAACCATATCCCCACACAGCATAGAATTCAGCTTATACCACATGCACTAGATAACAGTAACTTTATTTGACATAAAACAATATACCGGTAGAATACAAAACTCACCGATTTATATGACATCTACAAAATGCAAGAAACACTGCCAAGTGGCATTCACTCAACAGAACAAACAGCTGGCAGGAGATTCAGCAGAATACAAACTGAAATAGTATTCACCAATTCATTAACTATGACAACAAACCACATACAAGATTTATACATCCAAAGTTATCACAGAAAAAGAACTTTAAAATCAAATTTCTACTAGATGAGTTGCCAATACTACTCAATCTACATTACCAATGACCAAAGAAATATACAAATCCAACATGTAACAGATGCACCAAGACAATTGAGAACAATATCCACTGGTTAGTCTGCTCAACAAATCCAACATCTTTATGTTAACTCATAACACAAACAGTTGCAAAGTACTGCTTGAAACAAGACAACCAGCTACCAAACACATCAACACTAGCACAAAGCTTCTTCATAAATGGTACAGATACACCCATCCTATCATTACTAAAAGGATTAATCCCAGAGGATATCCAGACCACTATGTCAATTCACAATAAAACATTTATCAAAATTCTACACAAGATATCAACCAATATATACAAACACATATGGCTTGAACGCTGCAAAGGTATACACCAAAATAGACTTCTTAATAATACATTCATTGCTATCACCCAGACACACCCTTGTACGCAGCTTATTAGTACAACAAAATACAATAAATGGGAAACTCTGTTCCCCACAACCAATATATCATCATCATACATAGCTAAACTAAATCTAGTGGAGGCCAGGTAGCCCACTCTAGTAGAGCTTTGGGCCAAGGATAAATTAGTCCTAGCTGTAGGTCCCTGTAATAATTCATGTAATCCATTCAATAATGTAACGTATAATTATTCAATAAAGACCGAGGCCAGGCCTCACAAAAAAAAAAAAATAATAATAATAATTAATAATAAAATTTGTAATGATGCATAATTAATGCGTATGCGATTTTAACATAACTATATGTAATTCATTGAAATTTAAACAAACTATGTAACTTCGATATTTAATAAAAATGAACTTTTAAGATATTCCGTCTATACAGTTATGGCGCAAAACAAAAAGCAATGATGAACAGGAGGAATTAGAGGTGAGAACCGAAATACGAAACTATAAATTTAGGTTAGAGTTAAGGATATAGTTTAGGGTTTATGTCTCTAACCTTATAGTTTAGTGTTTAAGTTTCCATCTCTAGGAGGAATCCTACGTTGAAAAAATTAGTCAAGTACTTTATAGCAAAAACACAAACCTTAACCCAAAATTGGTGTGTGAAATATTATTTTTAAAAAAGTAATAGTGCTTTATTAGGTAAATTGTTTCCAGTTGACGAATAATTAATGTGGCGGCTGAAACTGAGATTGGCTGAAGCTGAGATTGGGGTCTCTATTTAAATCTACCGACCCCTATTTTTTCAGTGATCTTATATATAGAGATTATGATGATTGTTCATGCAAATGGGTAATTATTTTTGAATCCAGACCAAAATATTATTGTGCATATATATTTATACCCTGGTCACTATATCAAGATCGCAGGGTATAAATCAGTTATACCCTGGGCACTATGTGTATAAGCGGAAATGAAATTTCCGCTTATACCCAACTACCCAGGATATAACTATTACAAATTGGTCTGGGTCAAAAATAATTACCCAATATATAAGATCACTGAAAAATAGGGATCAGTAGTGGAACTTTTGAAACACCCGGTATAATACCTACTTAACCTAGCTCTAAAAAAAAGCTGACAAAAAAAAGGCTCCAAAAATTTTTAAAATTTGATATTAAAATTCAAAACCTCAGCCTCAGCTGTCACAATTAATATGCTACTTGTTTTCATAACTTGTAATCTGCAATAATTGCTTTTATAACATGTAAAATAACATGTAAAATTTGAATTATATTTTCTTTCTAGGAAGTATATTTGCTTTTATAGCTCACAATTTACAAAACTTTAAATAAATTAATTGTTGTGACTCGAATCAATTGAATAAAACTATACATGCCACCGAAATAGGTTTTCAAAAAAACCTATTTCGTCTCCATTAGAGCAAATTAGAATTTTTATACAGTATGCAAGAGCAAATCTAATTTAGGTAGTTATGTTCCTTATAATTTTGTCTCTTCAAAAAAAGTGTCAAAAAATTTCGTCTTTTATGTAAAATAGATCAAAAACAATTTCGTCTTCAAATTTTAATTTCGGGTTTTAAATCCCAAAATAATTTCGTCGGCATGTATAAATAAAACCTCGAATAAATAATCTAATCGAATGATTCGAACACTCTTCGGAGTTTAATTCATGAGTCACGAGTTAATACGAGTCCAGTAGCTAGGTTGTACTGAAAAACCAGGGAGTAGCCATCAGAAGGAGCCAGAAGTAAACCACAAAACCTCACGTCCCTGCCATTTGAACTAGACCAGCTACTGCAGTAAAAAAAAAAACCAACCCGTGTAAGCAATAACTTTCTCAATGCGCAAAAAAAAAAATAAAATAAAATAAAATAAAAAAAGTGATCACGAGAATCAAAAACAAAGCAGTTTATAAACATAACTTGAGGTACTATCAAAAATGAAGCAATTTATAAATTCAACCTCGAACTAACTAAAAAAAAAAAACCTATAGTTATCATTTAGTACTGCATGAATTGCCCGGGCTGGATATTGAGACTTCATGCGCATTTTATCTCATAAAAAAAAAAATATATATATATATATAGTTTTTGTGCAGTCGGTAATTTAGGCCATAATTCATAATGCCGGGCGGAATTAAGGATCATAAAATTTCTGAAAATTTCCGAAATGAAAATGAATGAACATAAAAGATGTGAAAGGTCGATAATTTCCGTAAAGAAAAGATAAATTTAAAATTTTTATCATGCAATATTATGCTCATTTTACGTATCATGCACGTTAATGCGCATTTTTCTATACAACCCGGGATCATATTTAAAATGTTCATATTTAAAACCGGGTACTATTCGATTTCAATGGCGGAAAAGAGGGTACTTTGTCAATAGTAAATGATACAGTACTTGTTCTAAATATCACATTACCTGTTTTTGCAGTTCAATAATGCTTATTAGTTGAACATAATATTGCTCGAGACTCCAAACACAATGACTTGTATTTCATAGTAAATATAGCAATAGACCTGAAAAAAACTAAAGGACGGTAAAAAAATACACGATAAGCCTGTCAGTGAAAAATATATTAGGTTTATATTTTACGAAAAGTTTTTTTTTTTTTTTTATCCGGAGCTAACGGTGACAACTACATTATATCACTAATATTTAGATTTGGGATCATAGAAAGTAGTCGGATGTTAATCTTCAACAATTATGTCTTGTTGCCAAAGTCCCAATTAATATAAGTAGAAACGATCAATGTAGATTATATCGATTGTTTACAGTACAGTAATCATTTAAGGAATGTAAAAATCCAATTGACATAGTAACAAGTAAATAACAAAAAAAGTTCACTAAGTGACTGAATATAAATTAAATGTTTACGAACATTAATTGAAATTTTTGAATTAAAATATTATTTATCATGTCGGGAAATGAAAATAGCAAATATTTAACAACTAAACGTGATTATAATGAAACTGTAAAAGCTTATATTGAGAGGATTAGTAAAAATAAGATAATAAATTTCATCTGTTGGACTGAGATTGATGAAAAACTAGAATATATTGATACTGGTGGTTCTGGTGTTATTACAAAGGCGAAATGGATAGAAAAGAACATAACTGTTGTGTTGAAGGCAGTGGGAGTTTGCGAAGAAACAAATTCAGATAATAATGAGTTTATTAAAGAGGTAAGATCAATGCGTAAGCTAATTTATTTATACGCTAATAAAATTTTTCCCGTTTAATGTAATTGAACAGATTAAGGCTTTTCATAATATTGGTCTAGTACATTCAAGTATAACGATTGAAAAAAATAAAGAAAAAACATCTCTCGTAGGATATAAAAATGTAATCAAATTTTTTGGTGTATCGAGGTATTGATATCATGTAAACTTTAACTTACATCAAATATTGAAAATGAATGTGCGTTTTTGTTGAAATTTGAACTTTTTCTCAAAATTACGACATTTAGCGACGAATCAGGTAAATTTTATATAAGAGCTTCAATTCATGTGCGTACGTACTATATATTTATTGTTCTTTGTTATTACTTATATAAACAGTCCTTTACCTTATACTTGAGTACGCAGATCTCGGTAATTTGCGTTATTATCTAAGCAAAAATACTATAAATTGGGAACAGAAGGTCGATATTGCAAGACAGGTTACCGATGGACTATATTTTTTACATAAAAATGAAATTTTACATCGTGACTTAGTAAGATACACATTCTTTAACAATCAATTAAGATTGTATCAAGCATAATTAATAAATTTATTTTATATTAGCATACTAAAAATGTGGTTATCCAAAAAGATGGAGATGGTGTTAGAGTCATTATTACAGATTTTGGACGTTCAAAAGTTCTTCCTCGTAATAGCAAATCAAATCAGGAAATTGGAGGATGCGTACCATTTGTAGCCCCTGAGATTTTAAATCATAATGCGGCACCTGATTTCAAGTCTGATATATATAGCCTTGGTGTAGTTATGTGGGAAATCACAAGCAATGGTCGACCTCCGTTTAAAAAATGTAATATCAATGCTACAAGAGTTGCACTTCTTCAACTTTCACTCAAAATAATAGAAGGAACTCGAGAAAACCCTATAATTGGGACCACTATCTCTTATGTTAAGCTCTATACAAGTTGCTGGGATGGGAATTCTGAATTGCGGCCGGAGATTGAAGAGGTATATAAATCATTACATCAAGAAGAGATAATATCAGGTGAAAAATGGAAAGATTCATCACAAAGTTGTATTTCTGATACTGATATCGGTCAAATAAAATCCAGTGAGAAAAGTGAGAAATATGCTTCATCGAATTAAATATTTGAATTAATAGACATTACTATTTTTAATAATTCTCTTTTTTAACTATACAGATTTAGAATCTAATAGGACCAATGACGAAAAAATTTTTAATAAAATTTCTGAGATGTTTGGACGGCTTTCTACCGAAGATCTTGAGATGATTGAACAATTTTCTGTTGATAATCCTGGTTAGTGTTCTAATAAATATTAATCATAGTAATGATTTTAACGAAAGTTTCTTCTATATAGGCGCAATGCTTCGTTTAGTCCAAGCTGCTGCTGCTCATCAAAAAAAAGTTTCCAGTTCAGAAACAAATGGACAGTGAATTTTATTACAGCATGATATAAATTGCTATTTACATTTTTATACATAAATCCTGTGTTCAGTTACGTATTTTGTCAATTGTGTCTCTCTCATTTTCCAGACAACCACTTTCTGACAAACCAAACCCAACAAAAATTGACCCGAACTAACTTAATTGTCTGGAAAATGATAGGATCCGATTCCAATTAGCTATCAATTTATTGTATTGTAAATCAATAATAGGCTATATATTCTTGTGTTGACTTAAAAAATAATATTAACATTAAAATAAGTAAATAGGAGTCACTAAGCGGAAATTTGGATGCCTAACTATAGAATATTTATTTTATAGCAATCAATATTAAGATTTCCTGGTTTTCATTTGGATGTATTCATTCATATTTGTGATTTGTAATTTTAAGTGAATTTCGAAGTTATAATCTTCTAGCTTATGAATACTTAACTGACTCCTGAAGCTTCACTTATCAAAATAAAAATTTTGTTTAATCATTATTATGATAATTGAATATACGAGTAACGCCAAAAAAAAACTAGATTTCAGGTTTTCAAGGTCATTTACCTAATCAGAGACAAGCAAAATACTTAATTACGTCGCTGGTCATGACTGAGTCCGGTAAATAATCAAACTATACTTAAAAGATCGAGGTCGTTTTTTATTGGCGTTGCCTATATGTTGGTAAAAAGAAATCTATCTATTGAATATATTGTTTTAAAAATTTTTGAAAATAATATTTATATTCGAGATTATACAATTTTGTTAAGTAAATTAACTCTCATGCAATAAATAAACATGCAGCAAAGACAAATTATATATATCCTGCCTTTGTATCTAAATTGAATAAAATTTTATTAATTACTTCAGCTAATTATTTATTAAAAATAAAAAATTTCTTAACATACTCTAGTGTATGAAACACGGGCATAATTTGTAAATTCGTGTGACACAAAATTAAAGAAAACAAAAAATTAATTTGATTAATGCTATATTAAGGTTAGTTTCTAAGGTTTGGGTTAAGGTATAGTTTATACTAAAATTTCACAGAAATTTTTTTGGTTAGAGCCTCAAAGGCTGTTTAGTTAGTAAAATTTTAAGTTATATTTATACCTCTGTTTTATACACTAGTGTATGAATAGAAAACATCTAAAAATTTTTATTAAGTAAATGCATTTTAAATTTTAATAATGAGTTACAAAGATAATTTAATTAATTTGATTTTATTTTTTCAACTTAGACAGTCATACCAGTGATGTTGTTTATTAAAGCCTAGTTTATAAAATCATATGAACCTACTCTAAGATAACAATAAACTATTGCTCTAATATTTTGCAGTTGCTTCAACCTAACTAAAGTTAACTAAGTACCCACAGTTAACCTATTGCACTAGTAAAATATGATTAATCAAAATAATATCTCTCAGGGCTTGTCTGACTAATGTTCTACAATAGGATATCACAATCTAATAATATTTTTTTATAAAGAAGTGAAAAAAAGAAAAAATTATATAAAAGAAATACAAAGGTATAGAAAAGTATAATAAAATATACAAACAAGAAAAGAAGTAGTAAAGAGTAAATGAAAAAAGAAGCTATGAGATTTTTATTACACTGGATAATTACAATTATAAGCCTATATAGGCTTGTAAAATTATATATTACTATCTAAACTAGTTTCTACTCTAAATATATATAATTAGTATATTTAAGAAAAAATCTCTAAAGAGTAAAAAACTATATCTTCTTTAATGTTAGCACTATAGAGAGTCAAAAATTTATACTTGTAGTCTTAAACTATTATTTATCTAAGTTGTTATATTCAAGATATATAATTTATATATTTATATTCTATATATAGTCACATATTATTATAATAGACTAAAAGTAAACAATACTAATTGTTTTGGTAATTACAATATTAATCTTGTGAAGAGGGTAAGCTAAATAACCCATTTTTTATAAAATTTTTTTTAAAAAAAGATGTGGTTAATAAAAGTATATAAGGTTCTTTTGTAGATTTTATAGTTGTATAAATAGTACTTCAAGCTTCTACTATCTTAGTAAGAGCTGTAATATTACTTGTTTATAAAATATATCTTCTGGTTTATATACTAAATATTTTGAAAAGTCTACTAAAGAAAGAAAGGTTTAATACCAAAAAAATCATCTAAGTTATATCTGCTTCTCAGTATTTTCATTTTTCAAGCTTTGCTAACAATAATCTACTCAAAGGTAGAACTGAGAATAGCATCTATCTTGGATATTTCTATAGTATTTTTCTGTAATTTAGTTTTTTGTTATTATTAACAAGAAAATTATTGAAAAAAGTTAATAACTATTAATTGCTTAATTAATTTTAATTACAAAGTTTAATTAAAATTAAATTAATATTTAAAAAGCAATTTAACTTTATTAGTAAATATAATATAATTTTCTTTTTTTAATATTAAAATAATCTTTAAAAGTTTTAATATATTTATTTAATATTAGTTCAAATATTAATAAGTTATAAAAACCTTATTTGATTTTGTTATATTAACAAAAATACAATTAATTATATATATAACTTTAGTTATTTAAAAATCTATTATTTTTTTATTTATAATTTTTACTTATTACTATATCTAAATTTATTTAGAAATTTTTTATTTATTTTTGTTTCTAATTAAGCTATTCTGCTCTTGTCTATTTAAAATTTAATTATTCAAAAATTATATAAATCTTTATCTATAACTATTAATAATCTAAAACAAAATTTGCTTAATATATTAGATATGAATTGTCTTAGTAGCATTATTTTTATTTTGACAAGTCTTGCTAGTGATCCTTTATTAAGATTATTTTGTTACAGATTTAACAAAATATTGAGTTTAATATTTAGACCTAACATCTTGTAGTTATTTTTAAAAGCACTTTTAAGTGACCTGCTATTAGTGTTCCAAATCAGATTAAAAATTTCAGTTAATCCAGGATAGATCCGAATCCGATCTGAATCTGAAATTCAGATTGATTCGGAAACAATTCAGGGCCAATCTGACAGTTATAGCTATTATCATTATTTTTGAGACATCTGAAAAATTTTCAGATGACTGAAATACCTCTGTTTCATTTGGTAAATTATCTAGCTTTCTGAAAATTATATCGCTGTCTTCGGACTGAATATCCGGAGACAACAATATAGTTTCTGAGAAGTTAGGTAATTTACTGAATAAAACAGAGGATATTTCAGTCATCTAAAAATTCTTCAGGTGTCCCAGAAATAATGATAATAGCTGTAATCTGGGAATGAACCAAAATAAACCGAAATGAATCCGAAATTCGGATTGATCCATACAATCCGACAGTTTATCTAAAATTTTTATATACGTACAATGATAATCATACGTATAAAGCCCGAAAGTTAAAATTTTACACATACTTTTAAAATTTTATACTTATGTACGTA